TAGGACAGCTACCACCTTATAGTCTAGTAAACTATGACCTAGGATGGCTACCACCTTATAGTCTAGTATACTATGACCTAGGACGGCTCCCAACTTATAGTCTAGTATACTATGACCTAGGACGTCTACCAACTTATAGTCCAGTATACTATGACCTAGGACGGCTACCACCTTCTGCCTGTAGTCTAGTAAACTATAACCTAGGACGGCTACCACCTTCGGCATGTAGCTGGGTGTAAACAAAAGAGCATGTAATAGTCTATTATACTATGACCTAGGACGGCTACCACCTTCAGCCTGTAGGCTAGTAAACTATGACCTAGGACGGCTACGACCTTATAGTCTAGTAGACTATGACCTAGGACGGCTACGACCTTCGGTCTGTAGTCTAGTAAACTATGACCTAGGACGGTTACCACCTTCGGTCTGTAGTCTAGTAAGCTATGACCTAGGACGGCTACCACCTTATAGTCTAATAAACTATGACCTAGGACGGCTACAACCTTATAGTCTAGTAAACTATGACCTAGGATGGCTACCACCTTATAGTCTAGTATACTATGACCTAGGACTGCTACCAACTTATAGTCTAGTATACTATGACCTAGGACGTCTACCAACTTATAGTCCAGTATACTATGACCTAGGACGGCTACCACCTTCGATCTGTAGTCTAGTAAACTATGACCTAGGACGGCTACCCCCTTCGGTCTGTAGTCTAGTAAACTATGACCTAGGGCGGCTACCACCTTCGGCCTGTAGTCTAGTAAACTATGGCCTAGGACGTCTACCACCTTATAGTCTAGTAAACTATGACCTAGGTCGGCTACCACCTTCGGTCTGTAGTCTAGTAAACTATAACCTAGGACGGCTACCACCTTCGGCATGTAGCTGGGTGTAAACAAAAGAGCATGTAATAGTCTAGTATACTATGACCTAGGACGGCTCCCAACTTATAGTCTAGTATACTATGACCTAGGACGGCTCCCAACTTATAGTCTAGTATACTATGACCTAGGACGTCTACCAACTTATAGTCCAGTATACTATGACCTAGGACGGCTACCACCTTCGATCTGTAGTCTAGTAAACTATGACCTAGGACGACTACCACCTTCGGCCTGTAGTCTAGTAAACTATAACCTAGGACGGCTACCACCTTCGGCATGTAGTCTAGTAAACTATGACCTAGGACGGCTACAACCTTATAGTCTAGTAAACTATGACCTAGGATGGCTACCACCTTATAGTCTAGTATACTATGACAAAGGACGGCTACCACCTTCGGCCTGTAGTCTAGTAAACTATGACCTAGGACGGCTACCACCTTCGGCCTGTAGGAAGCTCCAAATTCTTAAATATTGTTTAAAGCTGAAGGCTACAAATAATTGTATTTTTTACTCATGTTTTGACGAAAGGGTAACATTAATTGATAGTTGGACATCAAATATTCAAATCGAGCTGAACAAATTAGGATCAAACTTTTTATGGAATACAGATGGTAGTGTGTATAAACATTCGTGGTTTACATAGTTGCTATTGAACCACGAAAATAAATACAACGAATTTGAATGATATACGTGTCTACTGTTTGTTAACATAGGATATCCACGAAAGTTTGTACCACGAAACCATCTTAAAGGCTTCAAACCACGAAGGAAAGCACCCCCGAACATTTCGTGTTATACAGTAATATTGATATGTTTTTCTTTACACTACCGCTTGTGTAAGCCTATAGATGAGCAGTATAAAATTATGTAACCCTTTGTTATATGCTGAAAGATTATAATGAATGCCATTGTATATTAATGCATTTATGCTAACTGTATTACAGTAACTGTGCTATCAGTACTTATAGCGTGAACAAGTATGGTATACTATAGTATACTATACAGCACTGTATACAAATGCACGGTTACGATTTGTGATATCAAATTGTGATGTGCTATAGTATAATGTATTGGATAGTAATTGGATTATTGTGTCTAGCATCATAATATGAAATAAGATCGTAGTTCATGCATATGTGATTGTGTAAGACTACTATTCATAAGGTTCATGTATAATAGTATGTAATGTTGTAATGTTGTACAATCATCCTTACGAAATTTTTGTATTGTTTTGTAAATACTGAATATGCTATGTCTTTTCTCCGATGTGCTGTAAAACACAAGTAATAAAGAATCTGAATCCGAATAAGTAGATCCCGATACTCGGATAGAGTTCATGAATAACTATACCACGTTACTCAGTTAGTCTGTGTGGTCTATGACGTCGCCGAAATGAGAGGCCGCGAATTTTGGCGTGGGAACAATAACAACGGAAATATCTTGACAGTTTAAATCTCCCTATAATTTTATCAGCTTTAAAATTTTGTATATTTATTTTCAAATTACTTCAAGGTATACATCTTAATTCAACGGGAAGTTGAAGTACATATTTAACGAAACACGTCAGGTCTAAACAAACAACAGCGGTGTTGGTATGTCTAGTTCGAGGAGTGACTAGCTTTACCCGATAATGCTATAATGTTACTTTTAATTGGATCCCCAAAAAACTAACACTGATACGTAATAGTCACCATCAGGATATTTGATCCCCAACTTTAATTCCTGCTTAACTAGTTTTTATTTAATTTTTTACGAAAATGGTTTTCTTACTTAAGCAAACAACGTTTTTCATTGGACAAATGATTTATTCGGATTACATGATTTTAATAGTGCGCTTCTTGATTCATTGGAGGAGAGACATGCGAAACGTTTAGTCTACCAAAAGTACTACTTTAAAAATACTTACTTTCTTTCATTTAGATTGATTCGTCAAATAAAAAAGAAAGACCCATTCTATACGTTTTGAATAGCGTCCTTGACAACAATGCTTTGTGACAAATAATCAGTCCGAACATTTTTTTGTAGCATTAAAAGATAAAAACATAATTACTCGTTAGAAACACTAATCCTATCCTTAAAAAATCTGACACTAAAGACANTTGACCAAGGACGGCTACCACCTTCGGTCTGTAGTCTAGTAAACTATGACCTAGGACGGCTACCACCTTCGGCCTGTAGTCTAGTAAACTATGACCTAGGACGTCTACCACCTTATAGTCTAGTAAACTATGACCTAGGACGGCTACCACCTTATAGTCTAGTAAACTATGACCTAGGACGGCTACCACCTTCGGCCTGTAGGAAGCTCCAAATTCTTAAATATTGTTTAAAGCTGAAGGCTACAAATAATTGTATTTTTTACTCATGTTTTGACGAAAGGGTAACATTAATTGATAGTTGGACATCAAATATTCAAATCGAGCTGAACAAATTAGGATCAAACTTTTTATGGAATACAGATGGTAGTGTGTTTAAACATTCGTGGTTTACATAGTTGCTATTGAACCACGAAAATAAATACAACGAATTTGAATGATATACGTGTCTACTGTTTGTTAACATAGGATATCCACGAAAGTTTGTACCACGAAACCATCTTAAAGGCTTCAAACCACGAAGGAAAGCACCCCCGAACATTTCGTGTTATACAGTAATATTGATATGTTTTTCTTTACACTACCGCTTGTGTAAGCCTATAGATGAGCAGTATAAAATTATGTAACCCTTTGTTATATGCTGAAAGATTATAATGAATGCCATTGTATATTAATGCATTTATGCTAACTGTATTACAGTAACTGTGCTATCAGTACTTATAGCGTGAACAAGTATGGTATACTATAGTATACTATACAGCACTGTATACAAATGCACGGTTACGATTTGTGATATCAAATTGTGATGTGCTATAGTATAATGTATTGGATAGTAATTGGATTATTGTGTCTAGCATCATAATATGAAATAAGATCGTAGTTCATGCATATGTGATTGTGTAAGACTACTATTCATAAGGTTCATGTATAATAGTATGTAATGTTGTAATGTTGTACAATCATCCTTACGAAATTTTTGTATTGTTTTGTAAATACTGAATATGCTATGTCTTTTCTCCGATGTGCTGTAAAACACAAGTAATAAAGAATCTGAATCCGAATAAGTAGATCCCGATACTCGGATAGAGTTCATGAATAACTATACCACGTTACTCAGTTAGTCTGTGTGGTCTATGACGTCGCCGAAATGAGAGGCCGCGAATTTTGGCGTGGGAACAATAACAACGGAAATATCTTGACAGTTTAAATCTCCCTATAATTTTATCAGCTTTAAAATTTTGTATATTTATTTTCAAATTACTTCAAGGTATACATCTTAATTCAACGGGAAGTTGAAGTACATATTTAACGAAACACGTCAGGTCTAAACAAACAACAGCGGTGTTGGTATGTCTAGTTCGAGGAGTGACTAGCTTTACCCGATAATGCTATAATGTTACTTTTAATTGGATCCCCAAAAAACTAACACTGATACGTAATAGTCACCATCAGGATATTTGATCCCCAACTTTAATTCCTGCTTAACTAGTTTTTATTTAATTTTTTACGAAAATGGTTTTCTTACTTAAGCAAACAACGTTTTTCATTGGACAAATGATTTATTCGGATTACATGATTTTAATAGTGCGCTTCTTGATTCATTGGAGGAGAGACATGCGAAACGTTTAGTCTACCAAAAGTACTACTTTAAAAATACTTACTTTCTTTCATTTAGATTGATTCGTCAAATAAAAAAGAAAGACCCATTCTATACGTTTTGAATAGCGTCCTTGACAACAATGCTTTGTGACAAATAATCAGTCCGAACATTTTTTTGTAGCATTAAAAGATAAAAACATAATTACTCGTTAGAAACACTAATCCTATCCTTAAAAAATCTGACACTAAAGACATCATTTACTGGTGGGATATATCTGTCGGATTGTCTAGTACCAGGGTGCTTATTGGGCATATTGTCGGCAGGGCGGTCGCTAATGTCAACATAGATAACAGATTTCATAAACAGGGCATAACTGCTATATCATATACTTAGGCACCTATTACCATAAAGTAGGTGTAGGTATGGAATCGGAGTTAAACTCATTACAATGCTGATACACGCAGGATGGCGGCTTCTACTCTTACTCGTGGTAGGTTAAAAATGTATTATCTACGTTGATAAATAAGTAAGGTATATTGAACTTCTTTCTATCATTTTACTCAGGAACAAAAAAAAAACAGTTCGTGTTTCTGGTCTTGGCGTTTTATATTGATGCTTAGCCCGTGTTAAAAATGATCAGTATATGAAAAAAAGCTTAATAATATATCTATCATGGTGTTCTGTATAATATATCTGTCATGATGTTCTATATAATATATCTGTCATGGTGTTCTATATAATATATCTGTCATGGTGTTCTATATAGTATATCTAGCATGGTGTTCTGTGTAATATATCTGACATGGTGTTCTGTATAATATATCTGTCATGTTGTTCTGTATGATATATCTATTATGGTGTTCTGTATGATATATCTATTATGGTGTTCTGTATAATATGTCTGTCATGGTGTTCTATATAATATATATGTCATGATGTTCTGTATAATATATCTATCATGGTGTTCTGTATAATATATCTGTCATGGTGTTCTGTATAATATATCTGTCATGGTGTTCTGTATAATATATCTGTCATGGTGTTCTGTATAATATATCTGTCATGGTGTTCTGTATAATATATCTGTCATGGTGTTCTGTATAATATATCTGTCATGGTGTTCTGTATAATATATCTGTCATGGTGTTCTGTATAATATATCTGTCATGGTGTTCTGTATAATATATCTGTCATGGTGTTCTGTATAATATATCTGTCATGGTGTTCTGTATAATATATCTGTCATGGTGTTCTGTATAATATATCTGTCATGGTGTTCTGTATAATATATCTGTCATGGTGTTCTGTATAATATATCTGTCATGGTGTTCTGTATAATATATCTGTCATGGTGTTCTGTATAATATATCTGTCATGGTGTTCTGTATAATATATCTGTCATGGTGTTCTGTATAATATATCTGTCATGGTGTTCTGTATAATATATCTGTCATGGTGTTCTGTATAATATATCTGTCATGGTGTTCTGTATAATATATCTGTCATGGTGTTCTGTATAATATATCTGTCATGGTGTTCTGTATAATATATCTGTCATGGTGTTCTGTATAATATATCTGTCATGGTGTTCTGTATAATATATCTGTCATGGTGTTCTGTATAATATATCTGTCATGGTGTTCTGTATAATATATCTGTCATGGTGTTCTGTATAATATATCTGTCATGGTGTTCTGTATAATATATCTGTCATGGTGTTCTGTATAATATATCTGTCATGGTGTTCTGTATAATATATCTGTCATGGTGTTCTGTATAATATATCTGTCATGGTGTTCTGTATAATATATCTGTCATGGTGTTCTGTATAATATATCTGTCATGGTGTTCTGTATAATATATCTGTCATGGTGTTCTGTATAATATATCTGTCATGGTGTTCTGTATAATATATCTGTCATGGTGTTCTGTATAATATATCTGTCATGGTGTTCTGTATAATATATCTGTCATGGTGTTCTGTATAATATATCTGTCATGGTGTTCTGTATAATATATCTGTCATGGTGTTCTGTATAATATATCTGTCATGGTGTTCTGTATAATATATCTGTCATGGTGTTCTGTATAATATATCTGTCATGGTGTTCTGTATAATATATCTGTCATGGTGTTCTGTATAATATATCTGTCATGGTGTTCTGTATAATATATCTGTCATGGTGTTCTGTATAATATATCTGTCATGGTGTTCTGTATAATATATCTGTCATGGTGTTCTGTATAATATATCTGTCATGGTGTTCTGTATAATATATCTGTCATGGTGTTCTGTATAATATATCTGTCATGGTGTTCTGTATAATATATCTGTCATGGTGTTCTGTATAATATATCTGTCATGGTGTTCTGTATAATATATCTGTCATGGTGTTCTGTATAATATATCTGTCATGGTGTTCTGTATAATATATCTGTCATGGTGTTCTGTATAATATATCTGTCATGGTGTTCTGTATAAGATATCTGTCATGGTGTTCTGTATAATATATCTGTCATGGTGTTCTTTATAATATATCTGTCATGGTGATCTATATAATATATATGTCATGGTGTTCTATATAATATATCTGTCATTGTGTTCTGTATAATATATCTGTCCTGGTGTTCTGTATAATATATCTATCATGATGTTCTTTATAATATATATGTCATGGTGTTCTATATAATATATCTATCATGGTGTTCTATATAATATATCTGGCATGGTGTTCTGTATAATATATCTGCCATGGTGTTCTGTATAATATATCTGTCATGATGTTCTGTATAATATATCTGTCATGGTGTTCTTTATAATATATATGTCATGGTGATCTATATAATATATCTGTCATGGTGTTCTATATAATATATCTGACATGGTGTTCTGTATAATATATCTGTCATGGTGTTCAGTAAAATATCTGTCATGGTGTTCTGTATAATATATCTGTCATGGTGTTCTATATAATATATCTGTCATGGTGTTCTGTATAATATATCTGTCATGATGTTCTTTATAATATATATGTCATGGTGATCTATATAATATATCTATCATGGTGTTCTGTATAAGATATCTGTCATGGTGTTCTGTATAATATATCTGTCATGATGTTCTTTATAATATATATGTCATGGTGATCTATATAATATATATGTCATGGTGTTCTGTGTAATATATCTGTCATGGTGTTCTGTATAATATATCTGTCATGGTGTTCTTTATAATATATCTGTCATGGTGATCTATATAATATATCTGTCATGGTGTTCTGTATGATATATCTATTATGGTGTTCTGTATAATATATCTGTCATGGTGTTCTATATAATATATCTGTCATGGTGTTCTATATAATATATCTGTCATGGTGTTCTGTATAATATATCTGTCATGGTGTTCCGTATAATATATCTATCATGGTGTTCTATATAATATATATGTCATGGTGTTCTGTATAATATATCTGCCATGGTGTTCTGTGTAATATATCTGTCATGGTGTTCTATATAATATATCTAGCATGGTGTTCTATATAATATATCTGTCATGGTGTTCTATATAATATATATGTCATTATGTTCTGTATAATATATCTGTCATGGTGTTCCGTATAATATAGCTATCATGGTGTTCTATATAATATATATGTCATGGTGTTCTGTATAATATATCTGCCATGGTGTTCTATATAATATATCTGTCATGGTGTTCTGTATAATATATCTGTCATGGTGTTCCGTATAATATAGCTATCATGGTGTTCTATATAATATATATGTCATGGTGTTCTATATAATATATCTGTCAAGGTGTTCTGTATAATATATCTGTCATGGTGTTCTATATAATATGTCTTTCATGGTGTTCTATATAATATGTCTGTCATGGTGTTCTATATAATATATCCATCATGGTGTTCTATATAATATATCTGTCAAGGTGTTCTGTATAATATGTCATGGTGTTCTATATAATATATCTGCCATGGTGTTCTGTATAATATATCTGTCATGGTGATCTATATAATATATCTGTCATGGTGTTCTGTATGATATATCTATTATGGTGTTCTGTATAATATGTCTGTCATGGTGTTCTATATAATATATCCATCATGGTGTTCTATATAATATATCTGTCATCTGTATGATATATCTATTATGGTGTTCTGTATAATATATCTGTCATTGTGTTCTGTATAATATATCTGTCATGGTGATCTATATAATATATCTGTCATGGTGTTCTGTATAAAATATATGTCATTGTGTTCTATATAATATATCTGTTATGGTGCTCTGTATAATATATCTGCCATGGTGTTCTGTATAATATATCTGTCATGATGTTCTGTATAATATATCTGTCATGGTGTTCCTTATAATATATCTGTCATGGTGATCTATATAATATATCTGTCATGGTGTTCTATACAATATATCTGTCAAGGTGTTCTGTATAATATGTCATGGTGTTCTATATAATATATCTGCCATGGTGTTCTATATAATATAGCTGTCATGGTGTTCTATATAATATATCTGCCATGGTGTTCTGTATAATATATCTGTCATGATGTTCTGTATAATATATCTGTCATGGTGTTCCTTATAATATATCTGTCATGGTGATCTATATAATATATCTGTCATGGTGTTCTGTATGATATATCTATTATGGTGTTCTGTATAATATGTCTGTCATGGTGTTCTATATAAAATATCTGTCAAGGTGTTCTGTATAATATATCTATCATGGTGTTCTGTATAATATATCTGTCATGGGGTTCTGTATTATATATCTGCCATGGTGTTCTATATAATATATCTGCCATGGTGTTCTATATAATATAGCTGTCATGGTGTTCTATATAATATATCTGACATGGTGTTCTATATAATATATCTGTCATGGAGTTCTATATAATATATCTGACATGGTGTTCTGTATAATATATCTGTCATGGTGATCTATATAATATATCTGTCATGGTGTTCTATATAATCTATCTGTCATGGTGTTCTGTATAATATATATGTCATTGTGTTCTATATAATATATCTGTCATGGTGTTCTATATAATACATCTAGCATGGTGTTCTATATAATATATCTGTCATCTGTATGATATATCTATTATGGTGTTCTGTATAATATGTCTGTCATGGTGTTCTGTATAATATATCTATCATGGTGTTCTATATAATATATCTGTCAAGGTGTTCTGTATAATATGTCATGGTGTTCTATATAATATATCTGCCATGGTGTTCTGTATAATATATCTGTCATGATGTTCTGTATAATATATCTGTCATGGTGTTCCGTATAATATATCTGCCATGGTGTTCTATATAATATAGCTGTCATGGTGTTCTATATAATATATCTGTTATGGTGTTCTGTATACTATCTATCTATATATGTTAAGGTGTACTTTGTCCATGGTGTTCTATATAATATATCTGTCATTGTGTTCTGTATAATATATCTGTCATGGTGATCTATATAATATATCTGTCATGGTGTTCTGTATAATACATATGTCATTGTGTTCTATATAATATATCTGTCATGGTGTTTTGTATAATATATCTGTCATGGTGTTCTGTATTATATATCTGCCATGGTGTTCTATATAATATAGCTGTCATGGTGTTCTATATAATATATCTGACATGGTGTTCTGTATAATATATCTGTCATGATGTTCTGTATAATATATCTGTCATGGTGTTCCGTATAATATATCTGCCATGGTGTTCTATATAATATAGCTGTCATGGTGTTCTATATAATATATCTGACATGGTGTTCTGTATAATATATCTGTCATGATGTTCTGTATAATATATCTGTCATGGTGTTCTTTATAATATATCTGTCATGGTGTTCTATATAATACATCTAGCATGGTGTTCTATATAATATATCTGTCATCTGTATGATATATCTATTATGGTGTTCTGTATAATATGTCTGTCATGGTGTTCTGTATAATATATCTATCATGGTGTTCTGTATAATATATCTGTCATGATGTTCTGTATAATATATCTGTCATGGTGTTCTCTATAATATGTCTTTCATGGTGTTCTATATAATATATCTATCATGGTGTTCTATATAATATATCTGTCATTGTGTTCTATATAATATATCTGTCATGGTGTTCTGTATTATATATCTGCCATGGTGTTCTATATAATATAGCTGTCATGGTGTTCTATATAATATATCTGTTATGGTGTTCTGTATAATATCTATCTATATATGTTAAGGTGTACTTTGTCATATATTAGAATGTGAATACATATCAATCTTTTGGGTAAGTAGCTATTTTGTATGGATATGTGACTACCTCCTACATGGAGTCGTCTTTCGCGGTCAGCTGGTACGGTTAAACGTCAATTTTATACTGTTTAACTGTAATATCCATATTGATGACGTCAGTTATTTACTGTTTTACGATAAATGTCAAATTGATGACGTCAGTTATGTTTACAGTAATGGTCATATTGATGACGTCAGCAATGTATTGTTTTACAGTAATAATCGTTTTAATGACGTCAGCTATATTTACAGTAATAGTCATATTAATGACGTCATTCGGTTTATTTAATCAAATTAGTATCAGTAGTAGGGTAGATCATACCATAATTCTTATTATAAAACAATATATTTATAAATCGAGATGTTTACAAATGTCATTGTTAGTAGCTGCACTTGGGAACCTTATCAAGGACACATATTATACTCAGAGATATATTGCTGTTAATAAAAGTGAATTATTTTTATTGAAATTTAATACCGAATGGAAAAAATGGGAAAGTCTAAATAATATTGCTTAAACTCTGTCTTTGCCAAAATATGAACATATAACTATAGAATTTTCTTATATAAACGTGTACTTCTAAATACATATATGTAAAAGTCCTTGAACTTTCCGACACATCTATATAGCTTCATTGTTTCTCCATAGTATAAAGTGGTACTTAGGGTCATTGATTTTTGTTGTTCTGTACAGTAATGAACCCTTCTTACCTGTCTTTGAGACAATATTCAGGCTATATGTGGGATTCATGAGAGGATTATTATACTTCAGATAGGCGTTGTTCACAATGCAGAGTGCCAACAGATGCAGGTCGTGATATCACATATCCGGTACTCCTGTCCCCTCTACCCATGTTCATTACGAATATGTGGCTACGTCCTACCTAGTCTGAGGTAAGTGCAGGATATGTGGTCGTGTCTCACAAAGTTTGGGTAAGAATGAGGAATATGTTTCACCAAGTCTGAGATAAGTAAGGAGTAGGTGGGTACGTCTGACCAGTCTGGGGTACTTACGGGGTATCTGGCTACGCCTTACCCAGTATGACCCATCCCATGCCTTACCCAGTATGTGGGTACGTGTTACCTTATCTAAGATAATGGTGGAGTATGTGGATACAAATCAATCATTTGGGTGTTTAGAAATGTCCCATGGATACGTGACTGTGTCCCACATTATAGCCTGTTTAATACACAGTTAAATATCAACATACATCTGCAACATAATTCATATAGTATGTTTGTTTCAATGATAGTTATGAAAGAAAAAGTCTACAATAATTGATCTAAGAGAAAGTTATATTACTGCACACGCATCGTGCACACACCACATATGTGTAACGTGTACCTTATGTCGTGCGAGCCTGCCGAATATGTTTTAAACCGTAATATTGATCAACCAATGGTATCAAATCGCGTATTTTCGGAAAGAAGGGCACAACGGGGCGAACGATTGTTAAATCGTACAGTTGTGCGCACGATGTATGCACGATGTGCGCACGATATTTTTGGTGCGACGTGCTATCACACAACTGTATAAATTCTCATCAGAGTAATTAAGACTGTGTTCAACACTGACATTAAGACTGTCAAGAATGGGGTTTTCTCCGAGGTAACAGAAATAGACAAATAACAGGAATACGAAGAAAAGAGGCACCTAAAATGAGCATTCGTTTTCTCCGTCAACCAGCTGTTTGCTTTATGGGAAGTAGTTGCCTTTTGCAATCAGTGTCAATGCTATTTTGAACAATCTATTGAGTTGTTACATAGGTTCCTACTAAATGCTGTGTAAGAGTTAATTTGTACCTGTTTCATATTTAAAAAAATGATTTTCTGATGTTTGCTATAGTATTGACAACATATAATCTACTTTACAAAGGACTTGAAGCGCTTATTTTTGTTTTGGATTTTCCCCCTCTCAGGTTGTGCCCTATCCACACCACAACTTGTCCAAACACGAACTGCCAGGACGTGATCATCCTCAGCCCATCACTGGCCGGTAACAATGTGGGGCTGAGTTTAGACTACCCACCACAACTCAAATCTATAGTACGTACTCATGCATGAACTGTGTGTATAAGTTTTAATGAAAGATAACAAACCATAATCTGTTTGAAGTATTGACAGAATATTGGTAAACACCAAACTATATGTTTGATTAAAGGGAGATACTGGTAAGCACATTTAAGATTCAATTTTATTTATATCTATCAAAACAGTTCAATAAATTACCAATTATCTAAGACATCTGTTAATTTATCTTTAAAAATAGTCAACCCAGTTGAAACAAAAAGAGTTATTCATTATTTTACCCATATATCTAACAAAATATGCGGGTATAAATTTTCCCAAACATTTAACCAAACACGATATTAACTATTAAACGCATATATATAACAAAACAGCTCAGAATAGTTTTACATATGTCTAACAAAACTGCTGTATACAAATGATATGTGAAGTGTTTCAACTAACAACGATTGAGAAATTTACGTGTATAGAACTAAGTAAGTTAATTACTACTCTCTATCTGTACTAGCCTCTGTATATTATTGGTTTTGCATGCTTACTTTCATCACTTAAATCATAACAATGCACCTATACATGGTTTCCTGCATCAATACTTTCCATTTTAGTTGAACATCAAGGTGTATTTTCCACAACCCGGATCTACCAGCACTTGCGGCTCCAGTCTCCGAGACAGCTGCTGGGACTTCACCTACACGAGCACAAATCTCATCACCGGAAGTTCTCTAAGGTATCTATTACTCACTTCCGCTTATGATCACCACACCATCCATCAGCAAAGTATGACATTTAAAAAGTTCAGGTAGAGCGCCATGTATTAGTGTAAAAATTCAATTTTCAATGAACATAGGAAATATCGTGTGAAATATTCCCACGCTCATCCAAACCAATTTGATATCTATTTCACAATCACATGACCTCAAATTACATATCATAAAACAATATTTCCGTGTTCAAAACTATACGTTCAACAAATAATGTATTATATTATTACGGACCCACTTAGATTCCTCATCCATTGATAACCTGTTTAATTTCACTTGTATATACTTTTACTAGTAAAAATATAAAGTGGTTTTGTATAACTAATTCCTATACAGTATACGTTTTTCCCCACAGTTTCCAAGTGCAGATATCAAAATCGGTATCTACTCTCACCTCCTCGCCCAGCACAGCCAGCAGTGAGTTCATTCAATTTACTTACTAATTAGCTGATGATGTCACGTCTATAAGCCAGGAAGTAAATTCATTGTATATAATTAACAATTGTTTATAAAATAATTCTATTATACGACCGATGCATGTTGATGCTGAAAATATAGCCACGTTTGTCTCTTATCAGGTTAATATAATCTTTTATCAAATGAAACCTGAATGTTTGGCGCCATAAATAGACGGTAAGCTATGTCCGATGAAATTCCTAAGTATACTGACTGAAGGTGTTGTGCTTTACTTCTGACCTTAGCTATTGAACACCTGACCTTAGATCTTTAACATATGACCTTAGCTATTGAACACCTGACCTTAGATGTTTAACCTATGACCTTAGCTATTGCTACACTATAGCTATCGGAGGCAATACCTATATCTGTCTGATGAACATATTACTGAAGTAAACATAGCTTTTGCGTTGCGAAAACGCAAACCACAACCAAGATACCTTAAACCTCGTCATATGGAAACCTGTTTCATTCATTCATCTAACATCGCAAACATATGTTTTGCCAAGATATTAAACTTTTGTATACATATCACTGTCTCCAAACTGATAATCGTACCTGAAAGGTATTCATGTTTACTTCCAGAAAGGTTTATCCTAACCAATGACCACTTCCAAAAAGGTCTATCCTAACTGATGACCACTTCCAGAAAGGTCTATCCTAACCAATGACCACTTCCAGACAGTCTGAATATCTTAATTACGGTGTTCATATTACAGTGAATAGAGATATAACAAATGTTGTGAACATGTGTTTTTGTAGCCAACTAATACACTTAATAAAAATGTTATGTTTGTGTGTTTGGCGGCCAAAAATACATTTTCTATAAATGTTTTGGAGGCCAAGTGATACACTTTCTATCAATATTATGAATGTGTGTTTTGGCAGCCAAGTAATACTCTATTTATAATGTTACCTATGTGTGTTTTAACAGCTACATCTACAAAAAGAACCACACTCCGAGCTGTTGTGTCTACGTTACGTCCTGCACCTACCGCAAAGCCACTTCCTACACCGTTCAAAGCCAACTCACAAGCCGATGACAGGGGTAGGTGAACACGTTAACATCTCATAAGCCGATGACAGGGGCAGGTGAACACGATAGGATATCATAAGCCGATGACAGGGGCAGGTGAACACGTTAAGATCGCATAAGCCGATGACAGGGGCAGGTGGACACGATAGGATATCATAAGCCGATGACAGGGGCAGGGGAACACGTTAAGATCTCATAAGCCGATGACAGGGGCAGGTGAACACGTTAAGATATCATAAGGTGATGACAAAGGTAGGTGTACACCTGAAGATCTCATAAGCCGATGGCAGGGGTAGGTGTACACCTTCAGATATCATAAGGTGACGACAGGGGCAGGTGAACACGTTAAGATTTCATAAGGTGATGACAAGGGTTGATTTATACCTTAAGATCACACAAGCTGATGACAGGGGTAGGTGTACACCTTAAGATCTCACAAGGTGTTGACATGGGTAGGTGTTCACATTAAGATCTCACAAGGTGTTGACAGGAGTAGGTGTACAACTTACGATATCAAATGGTGATGACAGGGGTAGGTGTACACCTTAAGATCTCACAAATTGTTTATAGGGGTAGGTGTATACCTTTAGATCTCACAAAGTGTTTATAGGGGTAGGTGTATACCTTTAGATCTCACAAAGTGTTTATAGGGGTAAGTGTACACTTAAGATATCACAAGGTGTTTATAGGGGTAGGTGTTCACATTAAGATCTCACAAGGTGTTTACATGGGTAGGTGTTCACATTAAGATATCAAAAGCTGATGACAGGGGTAGGTGTTCACATTAAGGTATCAAAAGCTGATGACAGGGGTAGGTGTTCACCTTAAGATATCATAAGCTGATGAAAAGGATGGGTATACTCCTAAAGATACTTTATATGAAACACTTGAAGGATGTTTCAGTGTTGATACATATTCTAAAATAAAATGGAAACGCTTTACTTATATTTGAGATGTCATAATGATAACGTTATTATTGGCGACAGTCATAATAATAGTACACAGATGATCTATATAAATGATAGTTATTCCAATCTTTTATTGAGGCTGAATTTATTGAAGGGAAAATCAGGTCTGGTAACTTAGCCAAGTCCTTCAATTTCACAATCAGATATATGGAAGTTTTGCTGTCATTTAAACAATTCATTAGCGATTGTATACACCCTGCTTAGCTTAAAATGAATGGACAATACATAGACTCATCTACTTCGACCGGTTTCCTTGACATTTACTTACAGTATTACTACCAGATGTACGATGAGCAGAACGATACGACTTTACTAACTTAAATTTTCCCTTTTTCGATAGTAACACCCCTACATCCCGGACATATGTTGTTTACATACTGCAGTTAATTCGGTATTTGTATACCCCCGCAACTAAGTTAGGGGGGGGGGGTCTACTGGAATCCCCCTGTCTGTCTGTCTGTCTGGACTTTTGTCTGTCTGGATGTCTTCCGCAGTAACTTGTCCGGAAAACTAATTAACAGGTGGATTTCATTGAAACTTTGCATGAATGATGAGTATCTTATGTAGTTGTGCACCGGCATTTTAATTTGGGATTTCGACCTTTTTTGATGGAGGTATGCCCCTTTGTGTGGAATACTTGTTACTGGTTGGAGACTATGGATTGCTTTGCAATGCTTTGCCTTAGCAAGCCTTTACCTTACAGTTCTGGTGTCTTTAGCAGCGGGGGTATTAGTTAGCCTTTGGCTTACAGTTTAAGTTGAGTTTGCTCCCATTTTAATGATATCCTTGATAGATGCCGATTATGTTTATGCTCATCAGTTTGTCTTTTGTATGTACTTGTGAATATTGAATACGCTTTATACAATGTATTAAAGATGGATTTCCTGCTGCTGGAGCCTTCGGTATCGCCCTAGGAGTAGCAGTTCTTATCCTTTTCCTAGTCATCATCATCTGTCTGTGCTGCAAAAAGAAGAAAAAGGTAGTCACAAAGCACAACCAGCAGCTTGGTAATCAATTAAATATTTCGAATTGAATTGAACCAGCAGCTTGCAGTTGAAAATACCACAGCTAGTGTATGGCAATATGACATGTTAACACTGTTTATTATAACATAGAGTCACATATGTAATTATATAGAGTCATACTTATTACAATTTTAATTCACGTACGTGCAAAGAGTACGCTTAATGGCAATAACATAAATATGAAAGACGAATGATGATAATAATACAAACCAACACTGAAACCCTAGTTACAATCAAGGTCTCAATGCGATATTAAAACAATTCCAACGAGATTTCACAAATATATATCAGAAGCATAATACTCGCATAATTAGGTGTTTAATTAAAATTATATGGCTGGGTTCTTCCTTAGGAGACTGTGGTTGCCGTGGTGAGTTCTCCGCGAACGACAGAAAAACTTGTTTATCCAGCACCACTCCGATATGAAGAATACATGAAGTCCGGGCCACTTCCGGTCGTCCAGGACGTTATCGATGGCGACGGCGGAAGTGATACTAGTTGCTATCAGATAGAGATGGTGGCTGACACTAACACACCAAAATCTAAAAAGAAACGAAAGAACAAAAGGAAATCTGGCAAACACAGCAAAAGGGTAAGCATTTGATTTCGGTATTGTATATGTACTATGAACCCACTTGTAACAGTCATAATGCTCTTTCTCCTTTAAAAACATAGATATTGAGTGGTTATTTACTGAAAATATACAGGTTGCACTCTGTTGTCGTAGGCAATCATTTTATCACAAAACAAAGCATTTATCAGCCATAGCAGTGCATCACTTATACTTATAATATCGTCTGTATCACCACGATATTCAGTGTGAGTACACAAAATGTTTACAGGAAAGGGACGTGAATAATGAGTCGGACTTCAGTCGGACGACGGGAGAGAACTACCACATTGCTGTCGACACATTCTTCATTAACGCGGCCACCATGTCCCAGAGTGAGAACACAGCCACACCTCTGACTCTACCACAACCAACACCAAAGGAGCGCACTCCCTCTAAAAAATACAAAAAGAAAAGGAAAATGGCTTCATATGATTTTACTGAATTTGACGGAAATTCCGACCGCTATAACCATATGTAGATATATAAAATACGATATCAATCAGCGATAGCATGTGATTATATGATGTATATCTGTTTGATTAAGATTAAATGTATGTTTCGAGCGTGCGATATTCGAATCTTATATCTCTAGATAATATATAATTATATAATTATGTAAGTTTTAACTATACTACTATATATTCAGTAAGGATGTTTTTTTCTGTAACCCTTGATAAGAGAAAACACTATTTTTAGTAAAACCTAACCTATTACCCGACAAATGAGTTTTCAGGAAGAAGACACAAACAATGACGTTGGTACAAGATAGACTATAGATAACATAACGATATAAGACTTGTATATGTAGTATAAGATGTAGAGATCTGTATATAACGGTCCCATTTACTACGTTAGACAGTGATGCACATAGTGTATGTGTGATATAGATAGATAGGTATGTTCGTTCTACGAAATGAATGTATTGAGAAAAACAACAAAACTTATTCTTAGCAGTGAGTTGATATTCAAAGTCACACATTTGATATTATTTGTGTATTCGTAACGTTAATGGTGAATATGAAATAAAATACTAACAAGAATGGCTGTTGTGTTATGTGTAAACGATCATGCCTCGTGAATTTAACCTGTAATATATGTACGTCCAAACCCAGCACTGACACTTAATGTTGTCGTGTTTTGAAGCTTTTTATCTATTACCCTTTTCGCTTTAGCTTTTCAGGTTTTCAGGTTTGATAAATGAATGAATTTTGCAGAGAAGTAGACAAAATTTATATATATATCTGGTAGAGAAGAAAGCTTACAATTGGTATGAAATGTCAACAAATAATTAACATTTTCTTGTGGATGAGTTTCTTTGCAGCAATGTAAATAGTATAAAAGAAGCGTTGCGTGCAATGGTAGGATATATATACATGAAAAATATCACATTCCGAAAACCAATAAGGAAACCCAATATATATACAGTTTTTTCTAGTCTCTTGGTAAATATAACAGAAACACGACAATGTTGTAACAAACCAATACTAATATAACTGTTTGTAATGTTAATTGTTAGCATTGTTTTGTAATAAATGTATGGTTGTGACTACATGTAATGGGTCTACCGATATAGCTGTATACAGCTCCCATTGTTAGATCAAATTTTAAACTGATGTATCAGAGAGTTCGGACTCAGTCACAATATCTCGTAACCATCTAAGTAAGCCTTTGTCACTAAGAGCATTCCTTGGAGGTAAATGTATTATAATTAAAATGGATATGACTCTTAGTTGGAGAGGGCTTACACAGGCTATGCCTACTGCCTAATCCATTTGTCTTTTGACAATAACATTTATTGAAATTGAAATTGAACCGTCTAAGTAAGTAAAAAAAACAGTGGGAGTTTTAAACAACAACCTTTCATAGCGTGTACATGGAGATAAATCTATACTATCATATTACCAGGCAACCATTACTGTTAATTGAACAAAATTTAATATTATTACTTCATTATATGTGAAAAGGGTTGAAAACTGAAATAAATATAATTAATTTTGTTCACACGCAGGCATCTCTTTAACATTTAGATGCTGTTTTCGGCACATGTCTTTCACTTTTTGCAGGATAACAAACAGAATGCAAACAAAACTTTGGTAAAAGAAATACACTCTAGAACAGCCAAACAAAAAGGTAACAATTGAACAAAGAACACAAACAAGCCAGCATCAGCTGTCAGTCATGGCTCTGTCATTGATCAGTCAATGATTGACAGGGCTAGTTACATTAACAGATCTTGCTGAGCCTTCAGTGAATGCCTACTGTCCACTGTCTAGAATAACGCCCATGTAACTCACAATATCCGAGCAGTGTAAAGTTATCGGTCAGTGGGTGGCCATCAGACGACGTGACAGGTATCACAGGCATCTATAGTAACTGTTTTAATTCATCAATTGGAACAAGTAATCACGTCTTGTAATTTTGTTTTATAAAAACCCTTTCCGATGAACATGGTACGATTTTGTTGCTGACTTATTTACGGACTATTCGGTTATAAAACAGCTGTAACTATGGCGTTTTCTGTTGAAAATTGTTTACCACGGAGGTCCGAACAAAATGAAAACAAAAACCATCTCAGCTACAGTGAGTACGACGCCACAGAAATTGAAGAGAAAGACTTTGCTAAAAGCACTTCTGGGGACAGTATGAATGAGTATATAAAAAGTACTGGTGATAACTCTGAGGAGCAAAGGGAATACAATTGTGGAAATAACTTGCAAATTGTCAATGTATCAGGAAAAAGTTGTTCACCGAAGAGTCCGCCAAGTGGAAGGGTCAAAGAGATGCGCAATACCATCAACAAGAGAGAAAGACGAAGGATGCAACAACTGAACTGCGCCCTGAATGGTCTCCGCGATGTGATTCCCTCCGTACACCCGTCGTCTACTCGAAAACTGTCCAAAATAGCCACATTGGTGTCGGCAAAAAGCTACATCCAGATGCTAAGTAAATCTGTCCAGGAAATGAGTACGTTACTGACGGATCTCCGTGCATGTCAGTCGACTGCGGGACTCAATAGAAGGGGTCCGTGTCTACCTTTGTGTGTTCCTAAAAGACTACCACACTTACCATCGTTTTTGTCAGCAGAAAGTGCCCAGTGCTCTCCGTCAAATTCCAAGGGCTTTGTTTCATATCCTAGCTCTTACAGCAGCGAGGCGCCAACTATTTCGGCTTTGCCTGTTAATACAGTGGCAACGTTACGCCACCAGGAACATGGTCAGCACGTGTATTTCACCAACCCAACGCCAACGTTATGGGGACATTTCCCACAAACACTCAATCATTGTCATCGCTATTATCATAATGACTTTTAGAAGGTATCGTACCTTGCTTATGTTGGTTTATTTAAACGCTATACTAATTGTAGATCAAAATATCGAATTATGACAAACATTACGTGCTTTGACAAACGATTCTGATGAACGAATCGTATTCTATTCATATGATTTTTTTAAATAAAATATATAGGTATCTTATCGATATGTCACTAAGTGTTATCATTTCAAAGCAGTTGTGTATAGTTACAACTTTTAGTATATCATATTATTACATCTACTAGGGTATTTGTAAGAGTTGAATTAACAAGCAAATATTCAAGACATATTCATGCATGTATTAAGCAATGTGAAATTGACAAAAAAAATCAATAAACATTTAATAAATTATGGTATTTATTAGTCGAAGTTTATTGACTAGTTGTTTCATATAGCAAACAGTGTATTTATTAGTTAATGGTAAACAAAGTGTCCTTAAAACAATTCATTGTGTGTATAGACCATACAGAGGCGACGGGAGAATATATAGATGTTATAGTATATTCTGGGCACAAGAACTGTCAGATTGACCGAATATACACATGTGCGAAATCGATTCAAGTTATTCTACTACGACTTTAGATTGTGTACATCAGACTTTTTAATGTTTTGTTTGATAACAACAAAAATGTAGAGATTATGTGAACACAGACTTTTTAATGTTTTGGTTGATAACAACAAAAATATAGAGATTATGTGAACAGGGATATAAAATAACAATCACGCAGACAGAAATAACGATGGTCTACGTGTTACTAAATAATCGTCCTGATCGGTTTAGCAATGAAAGGTTAACAATACGTTAACACTGATTCTCAATATTTAGTCATTTAAAGGTACTAAATGAAGTTCATTCAGTACGATATATGACGTTAAGGGTTTGTTATGTTATACAGTATAAAATATAATGTTAGATGTGTACATATGTAAAAATACAATGTATGACGTTAACTATTCCCATGTTATAATGTACAATATATAAAGTTAGCTATTTCTGTGTTATAAGGTACGATATATGACATTGGCTATTTCTATGTTATTAGGTACGATATATGACATTGGCTATTTCCATGTTATTAAGTACGATATATGACATTGGCTATTTTTATCTTATTAGGTACGATATATGACATTGGCTATTTCCATGTTATTAGGTAAGATACATGACATTGGCTATGTCCATGTTAATAGGTAAGATATATGACATTGGCTATTTCCATGTAATTAAGTACGATATATGACATTGGCTATTTCCATGTTATAAGGTACGATATATGACATTGGCTATTTTCATCTTATTAGGTACGATATATGACATTGGCTATTTCCATGTTATTAGGTACGATATANTGTGAACAGGGATATAAAATAACAATCACGCAGACAGAAATAACGATGGTCTACGTGTTACTAAATAATCGTCCTGATCGGTTTAGCAATGAAAGGTTAACAATACGTTAACACTGATTCTCAATATTTAGTCATTTAAAGGTACTAAATGAAGTTCATTCAGTACGATATATGACGTTAAGGGTTTGTTATGTTATACAGTATAAAATATAATGTTAGATGTGTACATATGTAAAAAAAACAATGCATGACGTTAACTATTCCCATGTTATAATGTACAATATATAAAGTTAGCTATTTCCGTGTTATAAGGTACGATATATGACATTGGCAATTTCCATGTTATTAGGTACGATATATGACATTGGCTATTTCCATGTTATTAGGTACGATATATGACATTGACTATTTCCATGTTATTAGGTATGATATATGACATTGGCTATTTCCATGTTATTAGGTACGATATATCACATTGACTATTTCCATGTTATTAGGTAAGATACATGACATTGGCTATGTCCATGTTATTAGGTAATATATATGACATTGGCTATTTCCATGTAATTAAGCACGATATATGACATTGGCTATTTCCATGTTATAAGGTACGATATATGACATTGGCGTTTTTCATCTTATTAGGTACGATATATGACATTGGCTATTTCCACGTAATTAGGTAAGATACATGACATTGGCTATGTCCATGTTATTAGGTAATATATATGAGATTGGCTATTTCCATGTAATTAAGCACGATATATTACATTGGCTATTTCCATGTTATAAGGTACGACATATGACAATCTTTAAAATTATAATCTATTAAGTATGCTCAAGAATGCGTGTACTCTGTCTCGAACATTACAGTCAATACATACAGGTGACAGCTTACAGTTGTAATACATGCTATATTTACAACATCTACGCCTGAAACTATTTACCTACAAATATTTTTAGAATTTTTATTCACTGGTTGTATCAAATGAACATTCAGAATTTCTTAACACAGGCGAACAGTAAGATGATTACAAAATATCACCTTAAAACCAATTCTTCAGAACTTAGTCGAAACACATTTGTCTGTGTTGGGGGCTATGTAGCCGTATATGTCTCATCCAATCAAAATATATTTTTCACGACATACTTAAATTACGAATATAATTTAGAACACTTAAACATAAATAATCAGTACAATACTATTTAGAGAATGTTCTAATTCTCATTAACTATTTACAGGAACATCTTACACGCCACATACATACTTTTTCGATAGCCCTTGTTAAAATCGTTTGTAAAAAAATACTTGATCGGCGATATCTTGCTAGCCAGCTTTAGACAGAATGGATTAAAATACCACGACTTTTACACGTCATGTACTGTAAGTAATTATAGAAACACAATTTGCTTGGTATATTTTTTGAAGTCATTTTAATTCTTTTCCCACGACATTCCCACCAAAAAAAGTCATATCATACACAAGTCAAACACATTTCTTATTCATGCTTTTGTACAATAGCAATCTTTTCCACAATGAAGTCTACAACATGTCTTTAGCTTTTACTTTTAAAACAATTGCTGGGAGAAATAAAATCTTTGGAATAAAAAACAAACGGCTACCATGCCTCTAGCTAACACAACATTTTAAATTTAAACTACAAAATCAATTCAAACACTGTTAGCTCTCTGTATGAACAAATATGTAATAAGGAAAGAGGAAAATCGTGGTGCCTATCTCCTGTTTAGCACATATTCCTATACAAAGTCACAATTGTAAGGTTTTATAATAAGCTGTTTATCGATCCGATACCGGTTGTCTTCTAAGTAAAACATTTGCCTAATCACAAAACTGAATGCAAACACTACCAAAGGCTTGTTACGAAGAGTGGCAGAAAGAATAGCAACGCTCGTTAGTTCATCTTTACAAAGTGTAAGCCATTAATGAATGCAGAATTTATCTGATGTACTCTAGAAAACATGCTTATTTGTTCTAGGTATAAAATCAAGCACGACACGTTCAGGGATACGGAAATAGAATATGATAATCATACCATAACAGCACCCAAATAAGAACTCGGGTTCAAGAAAAGTCAATCACAGGATATGAGTTTCTCAAATATTCCAAACAAAGATCACTCAATCATGGACAAAATACATAACTGAGTCTCTCCAAACGGCTCAAACCTGCCATATATGTTTAAGACAACGAACCAAAGTCATGATTAACGTTACTCTACATAAGTATACCACAGCCTCACAACATCAAATAAGAACGAAAACGATCTCTACAATGTTTCAAGAATTAGATTTTAGTCATATAAGAATTTCTTTATAAGGTGCATTTATTTTAAATACAAATTTTGTATATTTTATGGAAAACATATGAATAATTAATCAATTTTTAAACATGCACTGCTAATAAATTAAAAGAATGAATGGCATTTATGATAACTAAAATAATCACAAGAAGTACTTTTTTTTTTAAATCGAGAAATCGACGTAAAAAGAAAAGCTGATCAGGTATAAATGTTCTGCACTATATGACCTTTTAGTTCAATTTGGACTCTACAGGCCTGACATGTTCCAAACAGAAACATACATTGTACCTATAGAAACACAATAGAGGGGAAAGGTACCCATAGAAATCCTTTATAAAATTGTAAAGGAGGCCCTTCTGGTGGCTTTCATTGATAGATATTGTTTTGTATAAATATGCCTTTGGGATATGCCGTCACTTTCTCCATATTTTTTGTTTTGTTTAGTTTCCATTTTCAATCATAATTACTAAGTTGTGTGGCTCAAAACCAGGACAACAACAGTTATTTCTATTTGGATATATGTGTGACTTTCTGATGTACAAGTCAAAATTAAAATAATCTTATCTGAATACTTCCTTTTGATATATACTAAGCGTACCTTGCAAACTCAGTAATTATACGAGATGGATGAACCGTCTCACATCATACACGAAGTCGATTAACTCCCAACATTATAAGAGATTGATTAACTTCCCCACATCGTACAAGATTAATTAGCTTCTTACATTATACGGGAATCATAATCTGATATGTGATGAAAACTTATTAACATCTTATATATTCCAGAAATCATCAAAATTATCAATTACATAATTATATCAAGCACGTGTTCATCTTATTTCACGTGTTTTTATCAGAAAATGTCATGTTTTCTATTGAATTATTCCAATTTAATATGTCCCAGTGTTGAGAGTTTGACACTTCTTATAGAAAGTATACGCCCAAATGTGAGTGACTATGTCCTGGTCAACGTGACAATGACCAACGGTCAAACTAGCAAAAAGACGTGTCGAGTGTCCAGTAATTGGTCAAACACTTGATAGCCGACGTTGCGTGACTGTTTAGCACATTTGTAACAGTTGCTGCAGGTGTGGAGATAATGCCAGCTATAAGTGGTTTGTGTAGTTACCTGTAAACATTGGAGTATTCGAGAGAGGGGAAGACAGCGATGAGGAGCTACGCACAATGCCACCAGGCGGAGCTGTTGGGGTGTCCGCTATCTCATACAATATACTGCGAATTAATTGATACGAGTTACCGGCGACTGTATAGCCGGGGATTGTGGTTGGTGTTGGTGGCGTGCTGACCTCTATCACGCCCTATACCACG